GTGCTGGTCCCAACCTTTTTTTTTTTTTTTTTTCATATGTGATTGAATTTGAGTCCTAAATCTGATTGAGTTGAGCATGAACAAATTATTTTACCTCTTTCAGCTTCTCTTGTTCCTTAAAATGACAAGTATGATTTAATAGGCGATGTCATGCCACAATCTCTTCTCCACTTTTCTTTCCTTTCAGGATTTTGGGCACACATGCACATGTACCTGGTATGGTTTTCATGCTATTAGGTCTGGTACGTGAACCACAGAGTCAGCTATGTGAGATCTGATTGCCTTAACCACTATGTCACAGAGACAGCCTAACAATAAATTATCTATTTTTCAATAAAGAGATAGCCTAAAGTCAAAACATTTGTACACCTTTTCCTAGGTCACCTCTTATAGTTGTTGGATCTACATTAATTTTACTTGAGAAAGTTTTGACACTTTTAAAGCACATCCAAAGATGTAGCATTGGAACCAGCAGATTGTGTGATGGTAACATCACTGGTCTCCCCCATAGTCAACTGTTCGAGTGCCTGACCTGGCAGCTTAAAACTCATGCCAGGAGTTAGTGTAATGACTATGTTGCTGGACTCCCATGTAGTTGACTGCAGATCAAGTCCCCGACCTGGTGACTTAAACTCACTCTGGGTGCATGCGAATGCATGCCCAGGATCCCGAGAGGAGAATGGAGGAGAAAGAGTTGTGGCATGACTATCCCCCGGGGGGGTGAATTCTCACTTTGTCTCTCTCTCTCTCTCTCTTTGTCTGGCAAGCGCATGTGCCCTAAAACAAGAACCTCTCCAAAAACACGCACACACACAAAAGAAAATAAAACTCATGCTAGGCGCATGTGCATGAGTGCCCAAAATCCTGAGAGGAGAATGGTGAAGGGATTGGCAAATCCCATGTAAAGGGTGATTTCTCACTTGCTGTCTCTCTTTCTCTTCCTCTTTCTCTCCAGCCTGCATGTGTGCTGTATAGCAAAAACTTCTATTAAAAAAAGATGTAGCATTGGGATCAGCAGTTAGCGTAATGGCTATGTCGCTGGACTCCCACGTAGTCAACTGGGTTTGAGTCCCAGACCCAGTGGCTTAAACTCACGCCGGGCCCATGTGCATGCATGCCCAAGATCCCGAGAGGAGAACGGAGGAGAAGGGATTGTGGCATGGCCATGGGGGTGATTTCTCGCTTTCTGTCTCTCTGTCTCTCTCTGTCTGGCGAGTGCACATGCCCTATAGCAAAAAAAAAAAAGAAAAAACTCAAAAAACAAAATAGATGTAGCATTGAGTTTTGTATAGAAATAATTTACCTTTTGATTAGCAGTTCATTAAGAAATAGAAAACTGGGGACCAGCAGTTAGTGTAATGGCTGTGTTGCTGGACTCACAGGTAATCAACCGCTATTTGAGTCCCAAACCCAGTGGCTTGAAACTCACGCCGAGCATGTGTGTGTGCATGCCCAAGATCCCTAGAGGAGAAGGGATTGTGGCATGGCCATCCCCCCTGGGGGGTGATTTCTCACTGAGGGGTGATTTCTCGCTTTCTATCTCTTTGTCTGTTTCTGTCTGTCTGGCAAGCGCACGTGCCCTATAGCACAAAATCTTTAAAAAAAAAAAATAGAAAACTGTAGTAAAATCTTAATTTCTCAAGGTATTCTGTATTCTTGGAGGTAGTAATTCTCATTCAAAGCAAAATTTATTTTGATTAAAAAAATGGAACTAAGTGATCTTAGTCTTTTCTTGCTACAGAACTAAAAACCTTATATAGGTTAATCTATGAACAGCATAAATTTTATTGATCAGTTGGTATTGCCAAAGTGTACAGCTTGTTCTTTGCTTAGCAGCAGCCCAAGCTCTGCCTGGACCCACTTGAGTCCCAGTTAGGACAGACAGAGGTATTGCTATGGAATTGAGCAAAGCAGAGACTTGAAGAAGCCCTCAATAGTCCTAAGGTCCTGGGCTCCTCTTTTGATACCATTCTGCCTTCAGGGTCTTAATTCTGTAGTCTTGTGATGAGACTTTAAGGGTCATTTCATTATTTTGAGGAAAAACCTCTCCGTCTGTCTCTCCTCTTTCTCTCTTTTTGGTGAACACATATACCCTATAGCAAGAAGAATTAAAAAATGTCTTTTTTCAATAGTTTTCAGAAAGAAACTTCTCATTTCACTCTACAACTTCATTAGAACTGCCTTTATTGTATATTTCTGCCAGCTTTCTTACTGCTTACATGGTCAGTGGCTTTCTCTCACCTCTCCTGTTCATGTTATGTCATGACTTTTCCAACAACCCAATACATCCTCACCAGAATTGCCCTATATGGCTTATTTATGCTAATTCAGACTTTTTCTAACCTGTTTCTACATATTTTTTAAAGCCTTTACCCATAAATCCATATTTTCAGTATTTGTGACAGCAACACTGCACTCTGGATACCAATTTCTGCCTTTGCCCTCTCTAGCTGCTATAACAAAACACCTCAGAATGAGTAATTTATAAATGGCATAAATTACTGGTCACAATTATAGTGGCTAGGAAGTTCAAGATTGAAGCACTAGCAGGTTGGTTGTTTTGTGAGGCACCAGACTCTGCTTCTAGCATAACATCCTACACACTACTGGCCTCATGTGGTAGAGGGTAGAAGGGCAAAGGGGTCATGTTCATTCACTACAGCCTTTGTGTACAGTCACTTTTTTATTATTAATAATCATAAATACCTGAGACTAGGCAGTTCTAATAGAGGCTCTAATATCTAAAGTCTTAAGAGTCTCTAATAGACCAATAGTTAAAAGTCTTAAGAGTCTCTAATAGATAAAAAGTCTTAAGAACATGAGAACTGGCATCTGGCTGGCTTTTGATGCTATGTACAACATGGTCAAGAGAAGCAGATACATCCATAGCTGCATGCAGAAACAGGGAGGAAAGACAGTCATTTCCAATTCCTCCGTTTCTCTCCCATAATTCTAGCTGACCAGTGCCATCTGTAGACCTGGTCTTTTAAAGTTTTAATACTTCCCACAGCCCATACTCTGGGATCTGTGCTTCCAACATGCAAAACTTTGAGGGACAAGTTAACCAGACCATAGCAGTCGCTGACCTCATGAGGGCCCCACTCTCATGGATTTTATCACTTCCTAATGACCTCACTTCTTAATACTATCATATTAGGGTTTAGGTTCTAACATATTTCAGAAGGGACACAAACATTTAAATTATATATCAAACTATCATGTTTGTGGGAGGGCAAGTAGGGTATTGCCATTCTAATTTGAATAAAAATACATAAAAATAGGGAACCAGCAGTTGGCATAATGGCTATGTCACTGGACTCCCACATAGTCAACCGCGGTTCGTGTCCCGGACCCAGTGGCTTAAAACTCAGCCGGGCGCGTGTGCGTGCGTGCCCAAGATCCCAAGAGGAGAATGGAGGAGAAGGGATTGTGGCATGACCATCCCCCCTGAGGGGTGATTTCTCCCTTTCTGTCTCTAATGTGTGTCTGTCTGGCGCGCGCACGCACCCTATAGCGGAAATCTCTCCAAAAAAAAAAAAAAAAATACATAGAAATAATGATATTTAGATACAGGAAAGTAAAGTTCATGATCTTCTGAATACTGCTTTGCTTTCAGATGAGTAATACAATGAACAACTATGAACTTCAAACACCTTTTTTTTTTTTTGGAAAGGTTTTTGCTATAGGGCATGTGCTCTCGTCTGAATGATAGAGACAGACAGAGGGATAGAAAGCGAGAAATCACCACGCAAGGGGGATGGCCACACCGCAATATCTTCTCCATTCTCCTCTCGGGATCTTGGCCATGCCACACACATGGCGCCCAACGTGAGTTTAAGCCACCAGGTCTAGGACTTGAACCACGGTCAGCTACCTGGGAGTTCAGCAACATAGCCATTACACTAACTGCTGGTCCCAAACACCTTATATTTTTACACTCTGTATATATTGTCTCTGTTTTATACCTGTATTTAATCACCAACAGTTCTAGCTCATCTGTTTTTTTTTCAATTTCTTTAAACATAAACAACATGTATATCTCCTCTAAATACACTGAACTACATGTATATCTCCTCTAAATACACTGAAATCTAATCCCCAATTTGACAGTTTTAGAAGGTGGGTCTGGAAATATAATTAGTGTCCTTATAAAGAGAGGTTTCTTTCTCTTTACACCAAATGAGGACCCACTGTAGTTCAGTGTCTACAAAGCCTACCTTCACCTTGAATTTACTACCACTTTTGTCTTTAACTTTCCAACCTTCAAAGTCTTCTATTGCTTTTGAGGCCAGCGAATGGTGTGGTATTTAAGATGCGAGACTCCTACATGGCCAATTGTGGTTCAAGTCCTGGATCTGGGAACTTGAAAATCATGCCACATGCATGTGTGTGTATGCTCAAAATCCCAGGAGGAGAATGGAGGAAAAGAGATTGTGGTATAGCCTCTGAGGGGGTGGCAGGAGGTGCTGCA